GCTGCTCCAAGTATAAGCACTGGCCTATAGCCGTAGCAGAACTGGGCCTGAACTCTTCCCACGTGCCTGCTGCTGACTGTCCTTTCATCAGAAATGTGGTCCTTGACTGACTGCACGTCAGCCTATCTGCAGGAAGCAGTTTGGGGGGTCGGGATATTTGTGCATACCTTTGTTGAGCGCTGGAAAACCTGATTGTATTGCAGTCTGCTACCTCTGGCTGCCGGAGCAGCCTCCCCTGCTCCAGGGTAAGTCTAGCAAAAGTGAAAGGGTTGAGCTGCTAAAAAGGGCTCAGGGATAAGTGACAGAGAATACGGCTCCCGATTGCTGCACCAGCTAACTGTCCCTCAAGGGGCTTTGAGTGTGCCAAGGCTAATGCTTTGGTGTAGCGAGCACGCTGTTTCTTTAACAGCATAAAAGCACAATGGGAATGGCTGGCTTCCTGCAGATTTTTGTTGTTGTTTGCTTAGCTATGTGGAAATGTATTTGATTAGAAGACAGAGAGAGAGGTTAAAAATAGGACATTAATATGATATTATTTGTTTTATCAAATAAAATGCTTAGAAAATGTTTATCTTGTCTCATGAGAACAACAAAAATAGAGGCCAGCACTTCTCTGCAGCTCTCTTTAATGAGCTAAATTGGGCTGCATTCTCGATGCCTCTAGAAGTTTTGGGGTGAAATGAAGGAAGTTCTGAGTAGAATTCCTTGTAACCACAAGCACTGGGTGTGCCTGACTATAGAGCCAAAAGCATCCTTTAATTGTGCTGTTTTTCCTCCTCTTATTTTTAATGGAAGACATTCCCATTTAAGAACCTTAGAAGCTGACATTAAGGGCTGGATTCTGCCACCCTGGTGCCTATCAAACTCTCCTGGTAACTGTGGTAGTCAAGGGGGCTGTTGGTGCAGTGGAGCAAGACTTGCGATGCGCAGAGGAGGCAGGATCAGGCACACAGCGTATCACGGATCTGGGGAAGGATGTGCTATTTGTTAGCTTTTCAGAATATGCTCACCGAAGTTGGATTTACTTGTAATGCAATGAGCTCGCATGTTGTGGATGAGTGGGGGAAAAGGCAGTGAGATAACATCTCCTTCTTCATTTTTCCTTCTTCGTGCCAATAAATGTAGCTATAGAGGAAAATTCGCTGTGAATGGCTGTATCTCCAAGAATTTCTGTATGTTAGCATTTCTTAAATGAGATAATTCTCATGGAAATCTCTGTGTAACATACACAGACCCAAAGAAATAAATAAAAGAAAATAAAAAAAATTGCAACCAAAAAACCCCAAGTTTTTTTGGTTGCAATTTTTTTAAGAGAAAAAGGAGATTTGTGTATTAATAATTCATGAGTTCTCATTGAACATGCACGAAGAAACGGTGCTATTCAATAGAGAATACTGTCATCTGTCACTGTTTTATTTGACATTTACACTTTTTTTTTTTTTTTTGCCTGGTACTGCAAAACTTTCTTGGATGGTGTGCTAAGATTATTTAAATAAATAATTTAAAAATCTAATGCAGACTTTTCGTCTGTGCATGGGGAAGACAGTTACTTGCAATCATAAGGAATGTGTGAGTAAGCTGCAGCGCCGTGTTTTCTCACGTATTAGCTGAAGCTATCACCTAATAAGCAGCCCCACAGATAGTTAGATAGGGTCTCAAATGGATGGGTGAGAGAATGAATGCTTGAATAAATAAAGGGAAGGATAGGAAAAGAGCAATGAAAGGACAGATTTGATGCAGATAAGTGTACACATGCACACAGTGGGTGCACGTGTGTACGTGTGGGGGTGAGCGAATGATGGCTGTTGTGAAGAAAGCTGCCACAAATACATTGCCGTTGCCGGTGCAAAAATAAATATTTATAACTGGCATTGGGGGAGATCGAGTCCCGCACAACGTGAGAGAAGACAGGGCATTTAGCACAATGACAATTCAGAGTTAGGCTCACCTTGCAATTTCTTGCTAATATTAGGCTCATGAAAATCTTTCTGCTCTGTAGGTTAGTTATTATTTATAAAAATCACAGAACCAGCTGATACATTCATAAGCTAATTATTGTAGCAGCTGGGTACACATGGTGCAATATGTCTGAGGCTGTGAAGTATCACAGATTTCTTGGGGCCTGCTGTGGTGGGGGTGTGCTGTTGAAGGCTAGATCCCTTAATCTGATCAGCCAAGCAAATACTTTGTGGGGAAACTGGATTAATATCTCTCTAAATACCACGGATGTGCTTCACCTTCAGAACCAGGCTCCTTTAAACGTGCCATTAGCTTATCTCCTTTGGGGAATGGAGAAGTTCTCAGGTGTCCTCAGGATGGCGGGGTCTTTGCCTGGTGCCTCCCTTTGCCAGAAATTAATTTGGTTTGCTCATGTCTGCACACATGGTCACACTGCAGTCTAATCTTTTCCCTAATAGCTCCAAGGTCAGGACCTCGCATGTTGCCAGGCAAATTGAGCGCTATCCTTCTTAAAGACTAATGGCAGCAAGTGCCTAGTCCATAATGAGGCCTGTAGTGTTGCTCTAAGTGATTGTAATGAGCGCTGATTATAACGGGACAGATAAATCAAAATGCAGCAGTCACCGTCAGGCTAGCTGGTCCAACTTTGGGAAGGGGAGGTGGTCCTGCCAAGCTGTCCCCAGGCTCCACTGGAGCCGAGCACCACGCAGCACCTCGCAGCCCTTGGGAGAGCCCCGGGAGCCGTCCCTGCATGGGGCTTCGGCTCCACCAGGTGCAGGGTTTTGTGTGCATTCGCTGTTAAGAGCTCGGTCTTCATGCTGCAGCATCCCTTGGGAGGTGTTAAACATACCTGCTTGAAAAATTTGAAGGAGTTCAGTTGGAGACTTAGTCAGATCACTGAAAGCAGGAAGAAATGGGAGCTTATTTTTTCCACAGATGGTTTATTTTCTGTTTCAAAAATTATTTTCTTTGTGTGGAGGAACCCCTGAGAAAACACTGGAGCTGGGAGATTTTCTTCCTGTCTTTTCTTTAAAAGAGAAAAAGTTTTTGGTGGATTTCTGAGCAGAGGAAAGGGAAGGAGAAGTGAGGGCAAGGGATATGGTCAAACCACATTAGAAAACGGACATCACCTGAATGAGAGATTACCCAAATAGCAGTCAAAATACTTTGAAAATATAATACAGATTTTTTTTTTTTTTCCCCTAAGTAAATTATTAGATCTCTTGTTTTCATCCTTGCCCCCCCACCCCCCACCCCTGCCAACCCTCCTAGTTTATTGCAAGAAAAGATCAGGTCTGCACAAATGTGGCCTCTCACTTGTAAAAACAAGGCAGTGTTGTGTTACAGATTAGTTTATAAATCCCTGGTGGCTTCACAGTTCAGTGCCTACAGCTGCTGCAGATGGGCCTGGGTTTTTGTCTCTTCGCTATGCTGCAGCCGGCAGTTGAAGGAGAAAATGGAATGATCAGGTTATTAACATGTAGGCCGCGAGGAAGAGGCTGCACAATGAGAACAGCTGGTGTTGCTGTCTTGGCTGATGCAGCGGAGATAATCAAATCTTGCCTTTTTTGGGGGGGTGAAGGCAGAAGACACAGTGGAGAGTAAGACAAACAACAGCTTATGATATTATATTCGGGGTTTAGAGTGCACGGTAGAAGTTGTCAATGGCTTACAAGTTGTTACACAAAAAAGCAATGCCGAAAAGCCCTCACGTGGGTCGGTAATGAACCTGGCTTTCCGGCTTGCTTTGGTCGCTGTTCGGAAAAACACAGTTTTGGCTACTTCTCATACCAAACGCTTTTAACATTGATCAGTCTATCTTTTAGGTATTTTAAGGTGCTTGTCAAAACGGTGTCAGAATGCTGAGTTGTAGCTCAAAAATGATGGGTTATAAAGCTACTAGGTAAAATATTTTGACAGGAGTCAGTAAGGCGCGTTGACAGCATCCTCGGCATTATCTTCGCGAATGCTGTCATTTGCATGGTGTCTCCTGCCCCTCCCAAGCGCGGCTGGCTGCTGGCAAGCAGGAGGGACCTGACTGTGTCCTCCCGGCCAGGGCAGGTGCCACCATCCCTGGTGAACCTGCTGGGACACCATGTCACCACCACACGAGGGGCTGTCCTCACCTTAACAGCTCTTGCCGTTGTGCTCTCTGGTTGGCTTTGTGTTTTAGAGTGGTTTCCCCTTCCTGAAGCACTGGTGCTTTCCCCTCCAGGGGTCTGAGCTCTCAGCCCCTATGGAGAGGTCCTGCAGGATTTCATACAGTGGTAACGTTTTGAAGGCATTTCAAACTGACCTTAAAACAAAGCAGGAATAAAATCTACTAATATTATGATCTGTAGTTTGGTTTAGAATTACCTCCACCTAGTATCTTGATCTCTCTAGTAACTTCTGCAGGATCCTGTTTGCTGTTTTCCTGCTAAATACTAGAGGATTCCCTCTCTGTGATGTTGCATTTTCTAAGTGGCTATTTGATTATTTAAAGCTGTCAAATTTTAGTGGGTTCAGAGCTGGAGGAGTCAATGCAACATAGTGACAGCAGATCACAGGTCTTTACTTCATACTATCTTCTTCTGAAGGTGTTAAATAGCAGTTGAATTTCTGGTCCTACAGCTGCAGCCCTTAGCATGAGGGTTGTTAGTAAGTCTCAGGGATTACATCTCCTTTTCACTTGCTTGGATGAAGAAATAAAGGGACTCTGAAACAAAATGGAGATGCACCTTTTTTTCAACTCTGGTTTTCTATAGGAAAAATATTCCTATCTGGGCATTTTAAACACAGCATGATTATTACAGGGGGCAAGATGCTGTGCTTCCTAGTTCCTGTTAAACACTGCTGGTTGTATCTGTTTCTCCAACTTGAGGGAAATATAATACATCAAGGATTTGTTGAGACCAAAGGGCAGCTGAGGGCAGGGGGTGTTCTGTGTGAGATGAGACCAGCAAAACTTGCAGCACAGAGCTTTAGGTCGAGGAGACCTTCCACTCACATCTGGTACCTCGGTGCTCCGTGAATTAACTGTGCTGACCCTACTGTTGCAGGGCTGGCTGTGTGAGCTGCTTCGCTGGAAAGAAAACCCAAGTCCAGAAAACCGCACCCTTTGGGAGAACCTCTGCACCATTCGCCGCTTCCTGAACCTTCCCCAGCATGAGAGGGACGTGATCTACGAGGAGGAGTCCAGACATCACCACAGTGAGCGTATGCAGCACGTTGTCCAGCTCACTCCTGAGCCGGTGCAGGTCAGAGTGCTAATTTCCTTCTCAGGGTGTCTGCGGGGGAGCATAGCTGTTAGAGGTAGAGAGAAGCAATTAGTTGCAGCTTCCTTCTGCTCTGCAGGTTGAGACACACCAGTTTTCATCTGTCTGCAGGGCCACATGCAAGGCACAGCTCTCAGATTGAGAGCTCACTGGGTATATGTTGCAGCATGTGTGTGAGTGTGTGCAGGTTTGTGTTGGTGGTTGAAGAGAAGGGATCTGACAACCCATGCCACTGGTAACAGCAAGGTCAGTAGTAGTGATATTATGGAGCTCCTTTGGAGTCAGTAGTTGTGTTGTGGCTGAAACACAATTTAGCTGTCTAAAGCTGCTGACATTTAGAGGAGTCTTAAGTGTGCTCCTCAGCAACAGTAAGAAGTGTGTAGTTATTTAGGAAGCAGAACAGGAGTGGGGACTTGCTCACTCACTCCTACTTACAGAACCTGAGCACCCCACTCTCAAACGGTGGCCAAGGGGCAACCATACATATTCTATTGTTCAAAGGAGCCAGATAACATTCTGGGAGAAGTAGGAGGGTAGGAGAGGAGGTTTGTCCATGCATGGGTAACGCAGGGGTTTTCAAGAGTGTAACATGGAGAAGTGTTTTTTTATATGTTCACTGAAACTTTAAAGTACTTCTAAAATTACAATGGTGAGTATTTCGCAGGAAACAAGCCTTCATTTCACAGCTTCCTCAGGATTGTTTTGCTCCTCTCTACCACCTTTGTGACTTATGAATTTTTGGTTTGTGCACCTTTGTTCTGTCCTCGTCTCAGGTCTTAATAGAATGAGAAATAAATAGATAAAAATATGCGTAGGGAAAATGAAGTGAAAATACTGCAAGATTTTTCAACTTTGCAGTTCCAGCTTCAGTTAGAAGTGAAAATCAGCTTTATGTTTATTCCTAATAACTAGTGATATATGTCACAAAACCAAACATCTGCTGATGGTCAAGAGAGGCTTGGGAGATGTTTTTTCAATTTAAAAAGCTGAGGTGACACCTTCCACAGCAGATGATCTTTTTGGGTTGACACTGGTGCTTGGTGCCATTCACCTGATGCCATTGTGTGACCACTCTGAGAGTCGTTCATACTGTGTTTCTCTCTGATAATCTCACAGTTTCTCCTCCCACCTTTGCTCTCCCTGTTGTTGTTTGATGATGGCTTACACTGCTTTGCTGCTCTTGCTGTGAACCTTGGCATTCAGCCTCTATTCTTTGTCACTACTCTTGTTCGGCTGCTGCTAGCACTGCTGCCAACTATCTAGTCACCTTTTTCCAAAGGTGGGAGGTTTTTCTGTCTCGTAGTCCTGCCCCTTCTGAAACACGTTGGTCTCACCCAGATTAATTATTGCCTAGTTCAGTCTCCTTTGCGTTTTCTGCTACCAACTTCCTCCTTGCTTTCCATTTGCTCTTTACGTGGAAGAAAAAATGTGGTTTGTGGGGTTTGGATTCTCAGAGCTATAAAGTAGGTGAAGTGCTCTCAGTAATTAACATAGCAAGTTTTGTCTTCTATGTTCCCAGAAGTTTGTAGGATCTTGGAGAAGAAGCTACGAAAGGGTAAAGGGCCAAGCTAACATGCGGAAAGATTACTAGACCTGTGTAGATTTGAACATATTAACCCAGTCCTGGTGCCCACAGCCAGTAGGAATATCCTCTAAGGGACAGTTTGAAGAAGTTTCCCTGAGCTCTTGTGGGTGACCTTGATGGTCAGCCTACTTTCCAGAGCCTTCTGTACATGACTTTTCTGCATTGTGCAGGCTGGCTTTTCTTGAGTGACACATTACACTGCATTGGAATGTGATGCATTTGTATTTGTCAGCAAGTTACAAAGCCATGGATTAATTATTTATTACAGTCAAAATATGAAAAATGAAGAAAAATAAATTGAACCAGCTGGCAACTACAGACAGCAAAACTCTAGAGACCATGGTATACGGTTGATACAGTAGGCTTGTGTTTTGTGGGTGCTACATTTTAAAACTATGTTTGCCCATCCAAAAACCCCAGTAGGTTTCTGAGTGGCACGCAACCAGTGCAAGAGACAGGAGGCTTGCTGTCCACCTGCTCCCTACTGTCAAAAGATACGCTGCACCAAGCAATTTTTGTGTAGTTTTTGGTCTCTGGGACTTGAATTGTTTCAAGCAGCAATGTTTGTTTTATGGCTTTGCTGCAAGAGTCACTATTAGGTAATTAGCCATGAAGAATCAATGACAACAGCCAAAGATGTAAAGCTGAGGTCCTCACACTTGCAGTCATTGGAGATTTTGTGACACTTTGCATAAGGGTAGGGGTCTTGGGCCCCACTCCTGGCCGAATTCCAGGTCAAGTAATTACATTCTGCCTATCTGAAATTCCCTCCATAGTGTCAAGTGGGAAAGCGACTCTCATTTCCTTCTCAAAGCAGTGGCGGGTGCAGAATGTCTGCCGCGGTGCCTGGCTGCATTTTAGCAGGGGGTGGAAACATCCAAGAGCTGCAGACACCGACCTGTTTTGCTTTGCAGGCTTTGCTAGTGAAAAGTACACTCCTAAGTCGAGCCCTTACCTGCAGCCTTGATGTCAAGAGGAGAGTCCTTTGAAGAAGATACAAGTAGCAGTGCTGTGATTCACAGCAGGTGCAGTAGGGTAATACCAAAGCAGGCAGGAGCCTCTTAGTTCTGCCTTCTCTCTCTGCCCACCCCGTCTTTCTCTCCGCTCTGATGGATTTGATGTGTGTAACTTGTGTCTCATGCTTGACTCTCCTGCTCCTCCAGCTGTGAGACTGGGAGAGCCTGAGAACAGGCTGCCCCATGCTGCTGCCAGAGCTCCTAGCCACCATGATCGAGCCCCCTCTGGGTTGGGGATGCTCCTCCATCAGACTGAAGGACTTGGAAGAAACTCCTGACTATCATCATAAGAGGCACAACCAGGCAAAAGATAACTGATACATAACATTCAGCCTTTTCCCTAGTATGGCTTCTTGGAAATGGCAGATTTCATTGCGTAGTTCACTTGCTGATGACAGGGTGGGGCACACCTTCAGTGAGGGAATCAGCCCAAGGCTGGGTTGGTTTCTCTCCTCTAACGGCAAGGTGAGCACAGTGAGGTGGTTGTTGTAGTGCTGTAGGAGATCGGCTGGGCACAATTTGGCTTTTGATGTTTAAGGGATTGTTGTTTCTTTTGTGGCAGGTTCTTGCCCTCTTTTTGGTATTACTAGCCTGTACTTCACTGTTTAGTTTTAGGTTCAGGGCTTTAAAAAGCAACATTGTCTTTTTTTCTCTCTTCCATTAGTTTTCCTGTCAGCCATATAGTAATCCATTTAATCGAGTATTTTCCTGTTTCTGAAATAAAAAATGTCTATCATGGAAGCTCAGTGCACTAGAAATTCCTCCCTGCACACTTGATTTATTTGTTATTGTGCTGAGGAGTCATAAAATGTGAGTCCTGCGGAGCTCTGTGGCATGACTGTATTGTCCAGCAGCATTGAGTGTGACAATATGGACGTGCCAGAGTGTGAATTTTCCTTTACATGCTGGTTGCAGAGCATCCACGCTACACCTACATGTTGCTGTGCTTGCAGGCTGAGCTCACCACAGCTGTTCGCTTGGTTTTTAGGGAAATTCAGGTGTACACTAAGTGACTCTCTCTGCCTCCCGTTCCGTGCCATGTGATGTAGTCAGGCAGTGCTGCTGTGGGACTAAGGAAAAGACCTGTGAGTTTGTTGCTAACTGAATACCACAAGGACATCACCTCCAATTTACAGAATGCCTGAGCCACAGGTTGCTGGAGGCTGGGAGGGTGTGCTGGAAAGTATTATTATATTTTTGCCCTGTTCTTGTCCTCTTCCACCACCATCAGACGTGGGATCCTGGCTGGACCTTTGGCCTGGCCTGGCCTGGCTCTTATGTAGATCTGTCGGACAAACCGCATGCAAAGTAGTCACTCTGTAGCAAGCAGTCCTCATGCTTCTGTGTTTCCTTCCTGCTCTGCAGAGGTGGCACCCTCTCTAACTTCCCATCCCTCACTAAATCCCAGTGCTCCCAGGCTTTTCCCTGGCATCGGACCTTTCTGGAGTGTTAATGGCGAGGAGTCCCTACAGCCGCTTCCCATTGCCAGCCAGGGATTAGGTGTTTGTTACAGACGTGCTGGGACACAGTAAATCTAATTTCTCTCCCTTCTCCCACTATTCATCTGCTGTGTCCAAGGTGACTACTCCAGAGAATAACCATCTTGCCTGGCACTTTAATATAGTGCTAATTCATTGTTAATTGCTGGGGCAGAGAAACCTGACTCAGTTGGGAAAATGATGAATCAAGCTGTTGTCTCTGGAGTGTTGGGGTGGCTAAGCTGCTTCTCTGGAGTAATGAGCCACCACTGCAGCAAAGTACCTGCTATTCAGAGAGCAGGGAAACCTTGCCTTTCATTTTCTACATAAGCTGACAGATAGATCTGCTGAAGCTAGGAGGTACATATTGATTTAAGAGCAGTCAAATGTTGACTTTAAAGAAACAGGAACGGTTTTCACATGCTTTCTGATACACTGTTACTTTTGTCACCTTTTTAAAATGACGTCTGTCTGCCCTTTTTTTCTCAGAAGCTTTGATTTAGACAAATCTGGCAATTTATAATAGTTCAGATCATAAATCATGGAGGAACATTAGTAAATAAAAGAAGGCATAGCAGAAAGCTGTAGGAAAGCTCTTTTGTATTGTGTGTTCACTGCAAACATTGTGGTCTCTCTTTAAATATGCGGAAAATAACATACCACAGAAGTAAATGAAATACTAATTTTGTCATTTTGTGAGGGATAGAAAGGAAAAATATTTTAGAAATGACAATGAAATACAAAAGAGCAGAACATGGAGCCCTCGTAAAAATGGGTCAAGGCAAGTGGCGATGGCAATCCAATGAAACTAATTTCATATTCTCTTTCTAGAAGTAATAAAGAGGGGAATGAACACCACAGTAATGCTTCCTAATGAAATATCTGATTCTAAACAATAACTTG